CGACAACCGCGCGCCCGCGGCCCCGCCCCCTGCCCGCCCCTGCCACCCCGCGGCGCCTCCTCGCCCTCTGCGACCCCACCCCGAGCCCCTGCGCCCCCAGGGCCGCGTGGTCGTGTTATTTCAGTAGATAGGACCTCTCTGGGCCCTGCCATACTAAGGCTGTCCATCGTGTGGGGCACATAGGGCTGGAGGGTACAGCCCCACATTGGGGACCTGCGCAAACTCCCATGAAAATCTATCTCGGGACTGTTCCATCGACACACCTGCTGCTCAGACCGGCTCCGACGCCCCCGTGGCCCACTCCACCTCGGAGGTTCCGCTATCCCTCCCCAAGCCCCGCCCACGCCGCGCTTCCTCCACACTGCACGTTTTTCCTCCCAGCGCGCTCCCTTTCAACTCCCCCTTCTTTCTTTCAGGCCCCCTCCTCTTCTTTTCCTTCAAAACTGCTTCTGTCCCCACCTCCCCTGTTCTGTGACCAGCATGACGGGTTTTCCCATCCCTGACACATCCAGTCCCCGCCACAGACGTGCAAACACCACACCACCCACAACTTTGACTTGGAGGGGGTGTGTGGCTCTGCCTTGTGCTTGTGTTGGCGCGGAGGGGGACGGGGCACAGCCCTGCAGCCCCCTTCTAATTCACCCTTTCTAAATCCAGCACTTTGGAAAACCGAAGCACAGCTGGAGATGGGAAGAGAAAAAGCCAGCAACAAACAGCCTTACATCCTGAGTGAATCCTATTGTCCCAGTCGGAGATACTCCTGAGAGGCAGAAGCGTTGCTGAGCACATGCTTCACTAACGTGGAAGGGGTGGGCTTGCTGAGGGGTAGTCCAGCGCATTTCTCCAAGGGAGGGGGAAGGAGACCCTTTTCTTTGTTGGGCAGTAAATGGCGTGGGGTCGGGGGAAGTCCCTGCCCTTCCAGCACCACTCTGTGCTGGAGGATGATCCAAAGGCTGGAAAGGTCCTGAGGAGAAAATCCAACCCACGCTGTCCACCCCAAGCCCACTGACCGGAAGGGCTTGTTTCCTAGAGAAGCCACAGACACTGATTAACAGCTAGCAGTACTCACATCATAAGGATAAGGTATTCCTACCCTGTCCCCAGAGAAACAGGACCCTAAGGAGAGAGGTAGCTTTTCCACTTAGGGTCAGTGGCTCTCCCCAAGCTACTCCAGAATGGGTGTCCCCAGCCTTCTGTTTCCATGCCCCACAGAGATGACACATATTCCTTCCCAACCCTCCCCTACATCTCCCCATTCCCGCCAGCCCTAACCAGAGAGCAGGAAGATGAGTCTCAGTGGTATTTTTCTAGGCACTGCCCCATGAGTGGAGAGTGGCTTCATGTCTGTCCACAGCCCCCGAATTCCCGCCCTCATGTTTGTCCAGTCTCTCTCTCTTCCTCTCCTAGCCCTCCTCTCTCCTCTGCTTTGACCCCTTCCTCGCTCCCCACCTTCCTTTCCTGGTTTCTGAGTCTATGGGGGTGGCAGGCCTAGTGGTCAGAAGATCTGCCAGGCATGACCAGGCTGGGGGCCAGTGGCCGCAATTGTGTACAGAGGGGGTTGGGGGTGGAAGAAAACTGGAGGGAAGTGGTGAGGGTCCCAGGCCAGACTAGGGAAGGCTGTTCCTCTCCCCACCCACACTGCGTCCCTGCCAGCTTGGCTGATGGCAACAGCCAGGGCTGTTATTGTTGGAGAGAAGTCCATCTGGCATGCGCCCTGCTGGGCTCCTAGCCAGCACCCACACCCCTCTGTAGCCACCTCCCAAGCAGAGGAGATTGCTGGGTGCCGGGGCCCCCTGCTGGACAGCCCCGGGAGCCCTAACTCACAAGGGCCTTGCCTGGAGTTTTTCCAGCCAGGCCTTGCCAGATCTCTTCACCCTCTGCCTGGTCTTCTGGCCTCTCTCCCTCCTTGAACTCCCTCAGGTCCCTGTTGAAGGAGTGGGGTGGGAAGGGTTGGTCCTGCTGCACCCCTACTCTCTACTTTATCTACCACCCTATATGGGACTGTGGCTTGCCCCAGAATCCCTCCCCTACTTGGCAGGCCCCAAGCATGCCTTACCACTTCACACACAGTCCTCTCTTTCCCCAGGCCTGTGTCCTCTCAGCTGTCACCAACAAGCCATCTGTGTTTGCTGGAGGTGTGTTTGCTTGACCTGGGGGTTGGTAACCAGCACATGGCTCATGACTATGTTCTCAGTTGTTTTTGTGACAGGGCTGGGTCTGGGTAGAGGCCAGTGAGGCACTTGCCGGAGATGTAAAATGTAATAAGGAGCCAAAAAACTCATTAATCAAGATAAATTTTATGCCAGAAGTGGTGGCTCATGCCTGAAATCTCAGCACTTTAGCAGATCGAGATGGGAGGATCGCTTGAGTTCAGGAGTTCAAGACCAGCCTGGGCAACATAGTGAGACCCCATCTCTACAAAAAAATTAAATTAGCCAGACATGGTTGTTCATGCCTGTTGTCCCAGCTACTCCAGAGGCTGAGGTGGGAGGATCACCAGAGCCCGGGAGGTTGAGGCTGCAGTGAGCCATCATCCTGCCACTGCACTCCAGCATGGGCGACAGAGAGAAACCTTGTCTCAAACATATATATATATATATATATATATATATATATATATATATATATATACACACACACACAGACACACACACACACATATATTACTGTCAATTGTCCCGCCATAAAAAAAGATAAATATTTTGTGACCAAGATAAGTTTTAATGCAACGTCTACGAATCAAGGCTCACATCTGTCATCCCAGCACTTTGGGAGGCAGAGGTGGAAGAATCACTTGAGCTTAGGAGTTCAAGATTCGCCTGGGCAACATAGGTAGACTCTGTCTCTTAAAAAAAAAAAAAAAAAAAAAAAAAAAAAAAAAAAAAAATTTTAGCCGAACATGTTGACGCACACCTGTGGTCCCGGCACTGTGGGAGGCTGAGGTGAGAGGATCGCTGGAGGATGGCGTGGGTCCATTAGGTTGAGGCTGCAGTGAGCTGTGATCGCACCACTGCCCTCCAGCCTGAGCAACAGAGCAAGACTCTTTTTTTTTTTTTTTTTTTTTTTTTAAGACTCCATGATGAATAAAACATTAAAATTCTAAGTAAAGACAGGTGTGTTCACAGGGTGGGTACTGGATCAGGGTTCAGAAAGACTTAATTGTTTGTTCAGCTAGATCTGGGCTGGTCTTCTAGCTTAATTTCCCAGACCTCTTCTCCCTACCCTATGTTCCCGGGTCATCTGTAAGGGGTTGGGGGAGTTCGGGGAGGCAGTCATCTAATATGGCCTTCGGAGTCCCAGAAAAGTAGCCTCGCATCCAGAAATCAAAGATACCGACTCCACTGAGACGCCATAGCCCAGCAGGTTCCCCTACCAGCTGCCCGTCCCGCAGGGCAGCGTGAGAACAGCGCAGACCTCGCCCCCACCCCACCCAGCCAGGCCCCCACCGCCCTGCCCCACGCACCTGCTGAGACTGTGGAGCGGGCATCCGGACTTGGCGGGGGACGGAAATTCCCAGGCCCGGGGGCCCCTGGTTCTCTCCCTCCTCATCTCGGGGCTGGGGCCATACCCACGGCTGGAGGGCGCAGCCCGCGCCGGACCTTACCGGTGCGAACCGCCGGGCGGAAGAGCGGCTGCCACCGGCGACCCCAGCGCCCGCTTGGCGCTCCGCAGCCGGCTCCTTCCAGCCCTCGCGGCCCAGGGACGGGGAGACCGGAGCCGCCTCAGTGGGAGGGGCCCGTCGGGCTTGGACGCGCGGCCGGCGCCTTTGGTCACCCGAGGCTTCGGAAAGGGACGGGGTTAGGGGCCTCGGGCCTCGGACCCCCTTCTCCCTGCCCCTCCCGCTAGGTCGCCTTCCTGAGACCCGGGAGCAAGTGCAGTGTCTTTGAGGGCTCCTGAAGGAAGCCGATGGGGAGGGGTGGGGAGGGACGGCTTGCGGCTGGCAGGAAGCCCCGCAGGTCTGGGGGTGGGGTGCACAGCTCGGGGCTCACCTTCTTCCCCAATCCAGGCTTCTGACGGGCGTGGAGAGGGGACGAGGATCCCGACTGGGTCCTGTGCTCCTCACTGTCCTCCTCGGGACCTAGATAGAGCACAACACTCACCCAGAGAGGGAGGATTATTGCCTAGAACCAATAAACAAATTATCCAGAGGCTGGGATGCAAATGTGTCTAACTCTTATTTGACCCCTGAAGGGCCTCCCACTGGGGAGGAGGACATAATGAAGCCAGTTCGTAAGATCACTCACACACCCCTTGTCACTTCTAGGGTGGGGTGACCCTCAAGGGCTTGCATTTCTGCACTGCCTCCCTGGGTGGCCTCCTACCCAGTCTCTTAGCAAACAGATCACCCTGTTCCCACCACCACTAGCTGAGAAATCCTCAAACTCCCTGGAGGGTATTTTCTTCCCTACTGTGAGCTAGCCAGCCAAACTTCCTCCTAGATACACTTGAGCCATTTCTGGGTCACAGTGTGACATACTGACCAAAACTAAGGGGAAACAACTTCCAGGCTGTGAGGACTGAGACCACAATAGAATAGGTGGCAAAGGCTGGGCGCGGTGGCTCAAGCCTGTAATCCCAGCACTTTGGGAGGCCAAGGTGGGCGGATCACGAGGTCAAGAGATCAAGACCATCCTGGTCAACATAGTGAAACCCCGTCTCTACTAAAAATACAAAAAATTAGCTGCGCATGGTGGCGCGTGCCTGTAATCCCAGCTACTCAGGAGGCTGAGGCAGGAGAATTGCCTGAACCCAGGAGGCGGAGGCTGCGGTGAGCCGAGATGGCGCCATTGCACTCCAGCCTGGGTAACAAGAGCAAAACTCCGTCTCAAAAAAAAAAAAAAAAAAAAAAAAAAAAAAAAAAAAAAAAAGAATAGGTGGCAAAATAAAGCCTCGTAGATTGTCCATCTCTCCTCTCCCCGACCCCCATCAGGTGCCAGGCCAGGTGAAACTTTTGCAGGGCCACAGTCTGGGTGATTAGACTTTCAAAGGCATAGAAAGAATTCAAATCAAATATTTATTGAGCACTTGCTGAGTGCCGGGCTTTGCAGGTAAATCAGCCTCCATAGGGAACCCAGATATTCTTTTTAAGGTAGGTCCTGAGTCTGGAAGACAGTCTGGATTCAAACCTTGCCTCTCTGCTAAATTGTTACTTGTCCCTCAGTTAAGCATTGGGAACCTTGACGTTCTCATTTGCAGGGAGGGCAGGGGTAGGTGGGTGTTATTTTCCCTCCCACCTGAGGGCAGAGGTGATTAGGAGTGGTCTTTGGGAAGAACTGCTGGAGGAGAGGGGCAATGGTCAGTTTTCTGCTAGATGCAAGGCATTCTTCCAGAAAGACATTTCTGTTGGGAGTGGAGAAGCATGTCTGTGGCAGATCCCTCTCATGCACAGCCCTTACTGTATCTTCTTTCCACTGGGCAGCCTTCGGTCAGTGCTGGTGCCGGGATTATCCTACTCCAAAATAAAGTATTTTGAGGGGTACAGCTGCTGTCAGGACTTGTAGCCTCATTTTTGGGGGCCTAACCTCTCCCTCCTCTCCAGGCGGTCCACTCTTGAGGCCTCCCCAGCATCTGGCGAGTGTCGCTGGCTGAGAATGAACAGCAGACAGCCCAGCAAAGCCTCTCTCATGTCCTGGGAGCCCAGGCGCCCGGCCAATCGGCGCAGCAGGGGCAGGAGGTACTGGCGGGCCAGGCGGGCAGCAGGCAGCAGCAGGCGGGACAGCAGCAATCGCAGCAGCAGCGGGAGCAGCGGCGCCGGCATGGCAGGGTCAGCGAGTCAGTGCCTGGGGAGACAACACAGGCGTTAGGCTTGTCTGTCCTGCTTCCATCTCACCTGCCAAGGACAGGGGGTGAGCAGGAGTTCCCCCTCCCTTCAGTTTACACCTTTGTGCTCCTGAGCTTAATACAGAGGTCAATTTTGCTTTCACAGAGCCCTTTCTCTTGGCAAAGTAGCTGGGGCAGGAAGTTTCTCACCATAGCATCGACGACGAGGAGAGTGAACCAAGCCCTGCAGCTTCTTCCAGGCATTCCTACAGCTCCCTGGCCCCTCCCTTCCTCTAGTCACCCCCTCCTCTGGCACAGCCTCCATCCCCCCTTGTATCCCTTAACCCTTCTCCCTCAGTCTAGCAGGAGTTCTTCTCCAGGCAATTTTTTTTTTTTTTTTTTTTTCGAGATGGAGTCTCGCTCTGTCACCCAGGCTGGAGAGTAATAATGCCGTCTCAGCTCACTGTAACCTCTGCCTCCCAGGCTCAAGCGATTGTCCTGCCTCGACCTCCCCAGTATCTGGGACTACAGGCACACACCCCCACCATGCCTGGCCAATTTTTGTATTTTTAGTAGAGACGGGGGTTTCACCATGTTGGCAAGGCTGATCTCGAACTCCTGACCTCAGGTAATCCACCCACCTCGGCCTCCCAAAGTGCTGAGATTATAGGCTTGAGCCAACTCGCCCGGCCTTCTCCAGGCAATTCTAATTTTTTTTGGAGGTGGGGGCTCCCAATCCACCCTGACCTGACACTCCCTGACCTCCCAGTCCCCTATCCTCACCGATCCCTGGCAGCTCTCACCGGGCAGAACTGCTGCTCAGAATCAGTCTCTGGCTGGATTTGCCTGGAATAGAGATAGCCCCATTGGATTCAACATGGGGTAACCCCGCCCAGCTTATGCCCACCAATTACAGCCTGCCTGGGTGGGGGAACAATGAAGAGACAGCTGTGTTCTGGCACCTGGTACATTGAGGAGAGCAGGCAGCTGGCTGGCCGCCCTTCTAGTCTAGGAGGAGGAGAGGGCAGGGAACATATGCAGGATTTTCCTCTGAGTTGGAACCCAGACTGCACTTCCTTCCTTTTTTTCTTTTTTTGAGACAGAGTTTTGCTCTTGTTGCCCAGGCTAGAGTGCAATGGCGAAATCTCGGCTCACTGCAACCTCTGCCTCCTGGGGTCAAGCGATTCTCCTACCTCAGCCTCCCAAGTAACTGGGATCACAGGCGTGTGCCACCACATCTAGCTTTTTTTTATTTTTATTTTTAGTAGAGACGGGGTTTTACCATGTTGGTCAGGCTAGTCTGGAACTCCTGAGCTCAAGTGATCCACCCACCTTGGCCTCCCAAAGTGCTGGGATTACAGGCCTGAGCCAGCGCACCCTGCCTAGACGGCATTTTCTAATTGTGTTTCTTTAAGCATGTTGACTCTTCTGGGCTCCAGGCCTCTCCGCTGTACCTTCAGTAACTGGGAGTAACTGGAAGGAGTAACGGGAACAGGACAATATATGAGACCCATTTGCCTAAACCTCAGAAGCAGTGAGTCTGCAGCCCGAACACACACCTGAACACCAGGCATGCTCACAGTGGAAGACTAGGACCCCAGCGGGCCCCTGTGGGCCCTCTCCTGGGGAAGAAAAGTAGAGGCACAGTCTCTCCTAGCTGGGCACAGCTGGACATAGCTGGGCGGCATTCCCCCTCAGGGAAAGGAAGAGGGATGCCTACTTCCAGATCTTCTTCTCCACCTGCTTTTCCCCCCTCAAATTAAATGAGATTCTATGAGATAGCTGGGTATATCTCTTTAGGTGTATAGCCTGGGCTTTATGTTGTTTTTTTTATTTATTTTTATTTGTTTTTTGAGACAGTCTCACTCTGTTGCCCAGGCTGGAGTGCAGTGGCATGATCTCGGCTCACTGCAACCTCCACTTCCCAGGTTCAAACAATTCTCCTGGCTCAGTCTCCAGAGTAGCTGGGATTACAGGCATCCACCACCACGACCGGCAATTTTTGTATTTTTAGTGGAGATGGCGTTTCACCATGTTGGCCAGGCTGCTCTCAAACTCCTGACTTCAGGTGATACATCTGCCTCGGCCTCCCAAAGTGCTGATATTATAGGTGTGAGCCATCGCACCCGGCCTGTTTTTAATTTTTATTTATTTTATTTATGTTATTTTTGAGACAAGGTCTCATTCTGTCACCCAGGCTGGAATGCCATGGCATGATCATGTCTCACTGCAGCCTCAACCTCACAGGATCAAGTGATCCACCTTAGTCTCCCGAGTAGCTGGGACCACAGGCAGGTGCCACCAAACCCGGTTTCTTTTAAAAAATTATCTTGGCCGGGCGCGGTGGCTCAAGCCTGTAATCCCAGCACTTTGGGAGGCCGAGGCGGTTGGATCACGAGGTCAAGAGATCGAGACCATCCTGGTCAACATGGTGAAACCCCCGTCTCTACTAAAATTACAAAAAAAAATCAGCTGGGCATGGTGGCACGTGCCTGTAATCCCAGCTACTCAGGAGGCTGAGGCAGGAGAATTGCCTGAACCCAGGAGGCGGAGGTTGTGGTGAGCCGAGATCGTGCCATTGCACTCCAGCCTGGGTAACAAGAGTGAAACTCCGTCTCAAAAAAAAAAAAAAAAAAATTATCTTGTAAGGGCTGGGCGCGGTGGCTCAAGCCTGTAATCCCAGCACTTTGGGAGGCCAAGGTGGGCGGATCACGAGGTCAAGAGATCGAGACCATCCTGGTCAACATGGTGAAACCCCATCTCTACTAAAAATACAAAAAATTAGCTGGGCATGGCGGCGCGTGCCTGTAATCCCAGCTACTCAGGAGGCTGAGGCAGGAGAATTGCCTGAACCCAGGAGGCGGAGGTTGTGGTGAGCTGAGATCGCGCCATTGCACTCCAGCCTCGGTAACAAGAGCGAAACTCCGTCTCAAAAAAAATAAATAAATAAATAAAATAAAATTATTTTGTAGAGACAGGGGTCTCACTGTGTTGCCCAAGCTGGTCAAGAACTCCTGGGCTCAAGAGATCCTCCCACCTTTGCCTCCCAAAGTGTTGGGATTACAGGCGTGAGCCACTGTGCTCAGCCTATTTTATTTTTTAAATACCTACCTCATTCTTCTACTTCATAAATTAAGTAGGTCAGATGAGATACTGTCCATGAAGTGTTTTGTATACCTCAAAGCCTTGGGAATATGAGCATTTATCGTCATCCCCACCACCAGCTGCCATTAGTATCATTGTCTCCATCAGCATGTCAGACCTTAAAGAAAGAAAACTTATGAGGTCGAAAAGGCCCGTCCCACTTCTGTCCAAAGGAAGCAGAGGAGAGGAGCAAGAAAGTATAGACTTGCAGGCAGAGTCTTCCTTTCCTTCCACTTGCTTCCTGAGGAGGTATGATGATCATGTGCTATCCTAGGGCCGTGGGTGACATGTACTTTGGGTACACACATATGCCAAGCTTCTGAGTTCAGGATCTCACTCAGTTCTCACCACTAGCCAGACACAGTGGCTCATACTTGTAATCCCAGCACTTTGGGAGACTGAGGCAGGCAGATCATTTGAGGTCAGGAGTTCAAGACCAGCCTGGCCAACATGGTGAAAACCCATCTCTACTAAAAATACAAAAAGTAGCCAGGCGTGGTGGTGTGTGCCTGTAGTCCCAGCTATTCAGGAGGCTGAGGCAGGAGAATTGCTTAAACTCGCAAGATAAAGGTGGCTGTGAGCCAAGATTGCACCGCTGCACTCCAGCCTGGGCAACAGAGTGAGACTCCGTCTCAAAAAAAAAAAAAAATTCTCACCACCACCCTGCAGGGGAGCAATTATTATAACCATTGTACAAATAAGGAAACTGAGGTTCAGGTGGTTAAGCAACTCACCTAAAGCCTTACAGCGTATAAATGGCCTGATCTTCCTCTAGGCCTGCTCCTTCCTTATGCTTTCCCATCTCTAAGTGACAATTTATATCTTTCTAGTTACTTTGGCCAAAATCTTAGAAGTTATTCTTGACTCCTCTCTTCCTATTATAGATCACTACCCACATGAGCCAATCCTGGTGGTTTTACTTTCAAAATCTTCAGAATCTCATCACTTGTCACTGATACCACCATGACTTCCCTCATCTGAGCATCCATCATCTCATTTCTCATTGCCAGAATGATTGCAGTAGCCACCTAACTGGTGTTCTGTCTCATTGGGGTCACCACTTGCCAGGGTCTGACCCGCAGACCCCATCTTGCATGGCGGATGAATAACATATACTCACACAGATCTTCTGCCTGTCAGTCAGACTAGGGGCTCTGCTGCCTTAGCCTGCAGTATTGCCTTGATCAGATTAAATGACAAAGGTCGTGAGTAAACACCACTAGAAGGTAATTAACATTCCCCCCTTCCCCCACCAGAGAGCCATCCGGGCCTCCAATGATTAAAGGTTACTTTTAGGACCACATGAATAAACAAGCTATTTTTAGATAAAGTCTTCTATATTTGGCTTTTCTGCTATTAATTCCAGGTAAAGATGTTTAGGCTGCCTTCAGCCAGAAGTTTTACTGAAACTATGCAAACCCCGCTGCCTTCCAAGAAGGTTTGTGACTATTTCCTATAACTTTACAGTTTCTCCCACCATCCTGACTGAACCCCACAGTGTTCCTGTTTTTCTTTTCTATACAGTGGACTGAATGATGCTTATAAAACAGGAACTGAGTCCTATCCTTTTCCTGCTCAAATTATCCAATGGCTCACATCTCACTCAGAGTTAAAGCCAAAGGTTCTGACTTTTGAGCCCAGGATTTCAAGACCAGCCTGGGTAACATAATGAGACTTTGTCTCTACAAAAAAAATTTTAAAAAAGAAAATTAGGCTGGGTGTGGTGACTCACGCCTGTAATCCCAGCACTTTGGGAGGCCAAGCTGGGTAGATCACGAGGTCAGGAGTCTGAGACCAACCTGACCACATGGTGAAACCCTGTCTCTACTAAAAACACAAAATTTAACTAGGTGTGGTGATGAGGGCCTGTAATCCCAGCTACTCAGGAGGCTGAGGCAGGAGAATCACTTGAACCCTCGAGGCAGAGGTTGCAGTGAGCTGAGATTTCTCCATTGCACTCCAGCCTGGGCGACAGAGTGAGACTTCACCTCAAAAATAAATAAATAAATTAGCTGGGCATGGTAATGCACACCTGTAGTCCCAGTTCCTCAGGAGGGTAAGATCGGAAGATCGCTTGAGCCCAGGAGTTCAAGGCTACAGTGAGCCATGTTCATGCCACTGCGCACCAGCCTGGGCAACAGAGCAAGACCCTGTCTCAAAAAAGAAAAAAAATATATTTAGAATTTAATTTTAGGAAGTTGTAAAAAATGTCAAAATATTTAAAATTCTTGGTTGCATGGGATCACTGATCATTATGAAACAATACTAGAGGCTGGGCACGGTGGCTCATGCCTGTAATCCCAGCACTCTGGGAGGCCGAGGTGGGTGGATAACCTGAGGTCCGAAGTTTGAGACCAGCCTGACCAACATGAAAAAAACCACAGCTCTACTAAAAATACAAAAATTAGCCAGGCATAGTGGTGCGTGCCTGTAATCCCGGCTACTTGGGAGACTGAGACAGGAGAATCGCTTGAACCCAGGAGGCAGAGGTTGCAGTAAGCCGAGATTGTGCCACTGCACTCCAGCCTAGGCAACAAGAGCAAAACTTGGTCTCAAAACAAAAAAAACAAAAAAAAACAAAAAAAAAAACAAGGCCTGGCAAGGTAGCTTCCGCCTGTAATCCCAGCAATTTGGGAGGCAGAGGTGGGCAGATCACAAGGTCAGGAGATTGAAACCAGCCTGACCTACATGGAGAAATCCTG